GAATCCGGTACGTGGCGAGCTGCTCTTAAATATTCGCCTAGTAGCTTGTGACGCTGGCAACAGCGCTTGGGCTTGTTGCTAGGCCGAAAATGTTGACGTTAGAAATCTGAACTCCAGAATATTCGAGAAGTACTCAATAAATAATTTATACATTTTTTTATATTATTTTAATTGATTCTTTATTGCATAATTTTTCATTATATTTTTGCTTAAATAAAATACAGTTATTTCAATAACAAGAAATATTGTTATTACAGTTTGTTCTGCAACTCGAATTGCCAAGTTCGATAGCTTATTATAATTTACCGCCCGATCTTGCGGATGCTCGGGAAGGAGTCAAGTAGAAAGGGTTATATATTTTTTATTATTATTTTTTTATTAATAATATATTAATATATTATATTTATATATATATATATATAAATAATATATTAATGTTATATACATTAATACAGTGTGCGCTTCTTCGTTTAATATGGTTTTATTAATTTGATTCATAATTACATTATTGTTGTATTGGTATTATGTGATGGAAGGGTATATACTATGTTCAATCACATTGATTCAGTTGCTTGACCTGATTCTGTAGTGAATAGTATATCTACACAAGATGTTCCTTGATGTTGTTGATTTTATAAGAATCAGCAACTTACTATACATACTCTTATCAGTGAGTATAATTGTGCTATATTAATAATAGCATCATGCTAATCTTGTAAGAATTAGCAATGATTTATGCCTTAAGCTTGGTTTACTCCAGAGAAACAGTAGCCTTGACCTGTTCTGTATTGAACCATCCCGGATGCTCCGTGCAGTTGATTAGTTTCACTATTTCGCATTCTCCGTGTAGATGAATCACAGTTAATTCATGTTTAAGTACACTCCTTATTAGGGAATGTTTTGCATAGTCTAGCACTTTGTTGAGTTGAATTGGACGGTATCAACTCCTTTATTTTGCAGCAAGCGTGTTCCTTCAATGGTGGACTTATCTTGAGAGTGTATGGTGAATAGATAACTGGCTGACAAGCATTACTGACTGGCTGAGTAACTATAAGGTTCGTCTCGTGATGTGCTTGCTTTAAATATCCACGCGGCAGCTTACTCAGCTGGCAACAATGTATAGATGTTGCTAGTTTTAGTCAATTTATTACTTTAAAAAATATTTATTTAAATAATTTAATTATATACCTACAAATGAAGATAAAAAGAATTAAAATATATAAAATTCTCATATAAAAGTGTAAATCGAAAAAATAATACATTACTTTCAGATTCCTAAACGTAGCGAAATAAGTGTAGAAAATTGTCTATATTTACATAAAGCTAAAATTACATAGACACACACATATATATATATAATATAGACAGAAATAACAACTTTGAAATGTATATCTATTCACTTTTACTTGTATTCAGTGTTTTCGAGTAACATATAAAACATACAAAAACAAAGGAATTAATAAAGATTCTAATAGCACTTCCACATTTGAATTTATTTTTTAATGAAAACTTGATAATACCATTAAATATTTTGATTATTTATAATTTAAAAAAATAATTTCAGATTATGTAATATATATTTTTTTCACAGATTATACAATCTATGTCGAGAAGCATCTGTTCTTTAAAGAGTATAAAATAAAAATCGAATGATTCTCAATGTTTATAATTCTTAATATATATATATATATATATATATATAAAAGTCTAAGATTCTTTTATGTAATTATGTTTGAGAATAAGAGGCTCTTTTTTAATGCAATAAAACATCTGGCAAGTAATATCGTGAAAATTGTATTTAAGACTTCAAAACTTTCCTACTCATAATTATTTAGCACTAGTGTAGAGAACCCCAAAGTAGATTCAGAACGAATAACAGATATGCGTAAAGCATTAAGTACAAAACATTTACTTAATTCACTGCAACCCAAAACCCGCACGTGCAACAACCTGCAATGACCATACGTGCAACAACCTGTAATCACCATACGTGCGCACTCGGCCTTTAAGACAATGCTTGCATTGTTCTTGGCTATGCCACATCTGGTCGATCGCATCGGAAAATAGACCACGCCCAAGCGGACCCTTCTTCTAGCCAAGTCCCAGAGAGGGATGAGACAACCAAAGAGAGGTGACCAATGGAAAAGGCTCGCCACCTTCCGACACTTTCCCGATTAGCAAATTCGGAACTGAGCCCGGAAGGAAGTGGAAATGAAGGCGTGCATAATCTATTGTGCGACCCAAGATCAACCACTGATTGGTTAATTAATAAAGGAAGAAGGGATCCCAAGTGGAGCGGGATCAGTGAATCATTTTAAGAAGGGACTACGTAATGTACCCTCACTTACTCTTTCCAAATACTTCTTACAGTGAAGGATAAGTCACGACCAACTCTCACGGAGGAGGACCGGAGAGATGAGTCGTTTAGCTAGCTGAGTTTTAATAATAAGTTCTTTCCACTATTGTGAATTAGTGTACAGTTGAATTGATCTCATCAAGACTGGATTGCATAGGACCTGACCACTTGTAATCTCACTTGGAGATAAGGAAGAACTAAAGAGTTGCAAAATTGCAAGGGAACGTCATAATAAGCCACAGAAGAGAGACTGGAAATTCACGATACACTGCAAGTAAGTCCTTACAGCTAGTACTCATTCTTGATTTCTCGGCTTATGTAGAAGACGGACGGATAAAGTCCAACTACGGAAGCTTCCCGGACATACTCTTGAACAAGACCAGCTATAAACGCCACATTGGCTTCTCAATCCCTCCAACTGTAGAAAACGGACGGATTAAGGTCCAACTACTGAAGTCTCCCAGGCATACTCTAGGACAATACCAGCTACAGACGCCACAGTGGCTTTTCAATCCCTCCAACGATAAGTTGTTCCCGCCATAGGTGACGCACAGCTTCGCATAACCTCTATTTAGGCTCTTATACGACCCATATTTAGAGGCAACTGCACACGTGTTGAGTTGACACAATAAAATTGTAATGTTAGATCAGAGCACTATAATAACCATAACCTCTAAGTGATAATATTCAATAGATTATAACCTACTTCTGTTTATAGTAATTATATACCAAGATTATTAAGAAATATAAAGTTCGTCTGTAATTCACCATTTTGTAAATCAATTCAAATAAATAGAAATAATAAAGACATGTGTTAATTATTAATCAGTGCATTCACCCTTTACTTGCCCGGAGGTTAATGATTCCCATTGGAAATAAAGTAAAATAAATGAATTAAACAGCAATAATAAAGATATGTGTTAATTATTGAATCGATGCATTAACCCTTTACTTGCCCGGCAACCCCACACAACATCTAGTGGGTTTTTCGTTCTAAGTTGATTATTGCACGTTTGGCCTGACGAGTCAGATTGTGGAATTGTTTTCCGAACAAAATATATATTTCATAATTCTTAAGTAGATTATCAAATGTACAATTATCAAATATAAAAATTCATGCATAAACGGTAGTATCAAGACATATAATGTTAATTCTTTTATAATTATATATAATTACCACTGTGAAAAAATTTTAAATTATTATTCATTACATATTAATAACTATTTGAAAGGTTTCATTGTTTTCTATAATTTGTTTCCATAAATAACAAAAGTAAATAGTTTTATATTTACATACATTTTAAATATTTATATTTTAAATGCAAATAAACTACAATCTTATTTGACGTAATTAATTAAATTTATTTAATATGCATGATACTCAATACTCTGAAGTAATGAAGACTACTTTATTGTATGATTCGATTTAATATATTTTGATATGGTTTATATATATATATTTTTTTTATTTAATTATTTTTATTGGATTACTACTTTAGTAAATATTTATAAAATTAAATATTTATTAATTATTATTTATTAATTTTTACGGTACTTTATTTAATACATCTATAATTATTTTTATTTAATTAATATATACCATTAAATATAGTATTCGAAAATGATGTAGTTTTCTTAGCTCGAACTGCCAATATTTCAATTTTCCGCCCCCTCTAGCAAATACTCGGGAAGGAGTTAAGTGGAAGAGCTGTAGAAATGTCGTGCGTTTTCATGAATACATGATTTATTTTACAATTATAATACAGTTACATATTGGTGTCTTGGAATCATCTTAAGTTTAATGTGAAGATGCGATTTCTTGGAACGTTTCTTGTGATGGGTGTTTTACTACACAAAATGCTTCTTGAGATCGTGACGTTGATGTTGATTTTGGAAGTAACAGCAATAATTACGTAACTGCAATTATTTTACGTTGCTGTACACTAACACAACTGTTACAACAATTACAACAACAATAATTATAATATACGTAGACTCCTTATCAGCGAGTGTGACGTGCTATTAATAATAGCGAAATGACAGTTTTGTAAGGACTGGCAATAATTTAGGTCGTCCGGACTTGTGTACTCACAGTGATACAGTTGCCTTGATCTCACGCTCCAAATGTAGGACTGCATGCTTGGTAGTCCGGCCCTTTCGTGTGGTATGAAGGTGATAGCGTCAACGCCCGTCAACTATAGTACAGGAGGGTTGCTATATCTTCCTTTTTTCAGTATGTCACTTAAAAACTTAGTCACTAGTTTTCACCGATAAGTGAGAACTTCCTTCTGACTTGGTTTCCCCATACAGATAGCCCTTTGTTGCTGTGTCGTCCCTACCTTTAAGACCTCTCGCAATGAGTCCCCACTCAAGGATCTCCTGGTCTGGGCGCGGCGCTTTTTGGTGGCAGGATTGAATTTGCACACCTCTTTTCCCACTTCCGAAGATTGGTCGATGTCAAACGTGCTAGGTTTCGGCTTGCAATAAATTTTAGGAAATGTTTTTCACTCGATTGTTTTCAAATATTTGAACTTTTAAAATATTCTCGCATAAACAAACTCGCGACCTCTTTCTAGTAAATAACAAAGGTCTTTTATTGCGCTAAAAACAATGACTACGTCTGTAGTGCGAAAAATAATAGAAGATGACCGTTCACGAGTGTTCTCCAGATGTACTGACCTTTTCGAACCACCAATGACTGTGGGAAAACTTTCTAAGATATTTGATTTATTTATTTATTTCTTGGATATTCTGTACAATATTTCCCGTGATGCTAGCCATTGGGATGTTTCAAAACTGATAATATTCGAGAGATTCTCTGAATCTCGAACATATAATAATACTTTTGCAAAAAAGTTTAGCAAATAATTTAGATAATTATGAGAATAATTTGTATACTGAAACTACCTTACTTTTTTCATGATGTTGTAGGTAATGGGAAAATGGTACTTTGTTAAAGTTATTGAACATATAAACGAAATAAAATGTGGAAGTTTTGCAGAAGCAGATACTTTAAGTTTATCGCGAATGATAATTGCTGCGTGGCCAATCATAAAACTAAAATCAATTGAGACACATGGGCTACCTCGTATCATATTACTATGGGAGGAAAATGCTGGTATCCTGGAATATACATTTTGGGTATCCAGAAATGAAGCACCAGGGGTTTGGAATTCTGACAAAATCCAAAATGGTAAATTAAATATTTATGTTTTTGATATTCATAAAAGTTTTTTTTACTACAAATACTATATAATACTAATATTCTGTCTAAAATTGTTATATTATTTTGCTTTAATCAAATAGTTAAATAAAAATTGAATATATGATTAGATAAATAATATAAAAAATAGAAAAGTTTAGGTCTTCTTTTTTATCACAAAAAAATATTATATTCATTGATTGGTAAATATATTAATCATCAGTGAGAGTAGTAAATTGTAATGAGCTGTCCATAAAATTAATATATAAGAGAGAATAGAAATAATTTCTGGTAAATTCATATATTAAAGAGGAACCATGAAGCAGAATATATATATTATTTTCTTATTTTCAAAAAACATTTTTATTATACATTTTATTTAGCTACTTATATAATATTCTACAGATAATAATATTGATAAATTCTTAATAACGACTCAGTGGACACATTTATAGTACTGGTGTACTTAGTAAATTATTCTATTTTATTCAAGGTAGCTTCATTTTACTATATATAACATTTTTACTTTATTACCTGGTAATAATTTATTTGAATATATGCAATAGAATAATCAAAGTGGAATAAATTAGATAATTAAACAACTAAATTAGAATGATTTAACATCCTCAATTCGCTTCTTGAAAACAAAAAAGTTAGTTAAACATTGCACATTTAAAAAAATTAATTTTATCTGGTTTTCATTTCCAACTGCTTGTCCTATCTTTAGTATTGAGAACTGAAAAAAGTTTTTGTAACTTATTATGTTTAAAGGGTTCTTTTCAATTTAAATATATATAAAAAAAGTATAAACAAATATAAATTAATTATGATGCCTCCAAATTATTTGTAAAGTAATGTATATGATTCATTTAACGTATATAATATTTTTTATATGTATACTCTAAAGATTATTTGAAATAATTAAAATATAAATAATGGAATAGAATATGTTTTTGATGTTGGTTTTTATAGAGTTAATTGCTTTTAAATGTATCAAGAATGTTCAAATTTACAAAGTCTTTTAGAAGACACACACCGTTGCATTAAAGTTTTCATAATTGTTCCATGAATAGTTATATATAGGTGTTAAAAAGTAGTCATTACTTAATTCTATTTAAATTTCTATAATTTTTATGTAAAGTTTTGAATAATTTCCATTCTTTATTATGAATACCCTAAGTTTATCTTAATTTGACATTTTCTCAATCAGGCCTTTCTGACTATTATTATGTTAAAAAAAATAAAATTTTCATTAATTTTCCATTTTATCTATGGAATTACTATTTAGATGAACTATTAATTAGTACTATATAGAAAATTCTTTCATACATACTTTCATACTAGACAAAACATATATTTGTTTATTAGTATTCAGTTTTCTCTTTAATCGTTTTAAAATTTCAGAGATATAAATCTCCTAACTTTTAAACATAATAGAGACAATAAATTATGACAACAAACTAATATATTCTATTACTATTATTAAATTATTTATCCTATAACAATTCTATATTTCTTCTAATCTAATCACAACTCATTATTTAAAAAGGTATACATTATGTATGCAACTACTAACTCAACTATATATTTTACAAGACAAATAATAAAATATTTTAGAAGTAAATTTTATAAATTTTTCAAAGATTATTAATTATTAAAATTGTTTATATAAAAATATAATAATGCTATTAATTTTATATATTGTATTTTTATATAATATCAAATTTTATTAATGACGAAGTAAATATTATTATTTTTTATTTTTTTAGGTTCTTTGGCAAATAAACCATCTTACAATCAATTCATTGGAACCGTGCATGTAATGAAGGCAGTTGCATCGCACATGATTATTACCTTCTGTACATGTAACGTTGATGATCAAAAATTCTCTATCCTGCTCGGTCGCAAATATAAACTACCGAAGACAGACCTGCTCGGCATGCATAAACTTCTTGAACGTCGAAACCTCCATCTACTGAGTATACGAAAAAGCTGTTCTTATGGCTCAACAATATCCAATAATGGAAAAGCTAGTCTTATTTTGTTTGGTTCGTAGTACAAATTGCTTCGAAAATGTTGTGGTTACTTTATAATTAAGTTGTAAATAAGTCCCAAGTGAACATTGATGAAGCGGTAAAGTTGTTGAATCAACAATTTATTTCATCGTTGAGCGAACACTAAAGCTATTCTAAAATAAAATCGAATACTTTTATTAAAGGTATAAAAATAGAATAAGAAAAAAAAGAAAAAGAATGGAGGGGAAATTTTTATAGTTTTTTCATTCGTAACTTAGATACGTAAAAAAATATACTCTAAATAGAGTAAAACTAAAATTTTACAAAAACTATTTGGTTTTAGAATAAAATGTTAAAGTTTTGGAAATATTCACTTTATCAAATTGTTTATTTTTAATTTTAAAGTAAGTTTTCACATTAGTCGCAATAATATTTCAGTTTAAAGTATAAAAGTATTCTTACAACATATAAATTTTATAAATTGTTTACTAAAGTAATAAGCAATTTTGCTTTATTTTATAGAAAACATTCCTTTAAACTTCGAAAAAAATATATTACCTTTAAAAGGCACAACGCTAAAAAGTCATCAGTTGAAAGGATTTGAAGTATTTGTAGTAATAAATGATAACATTGTACTTCAATTAGTTCAAAAAATATTATAAATAGGATACCGTATATATACTAGTACCAAGCTTTGAAAATGAATCTATTTATTACGGAAGATTTAAATTGAGTGTATTTTATAAAATGAATATATGAAAGTGAATATCAACTAAAAATACAATCGTGACGCTTAATCTTCAAAAATGTATCTTATACTGTATGTAAAAACAAAAAAAGTAAAATTTTATTAAATTTAGAAGCTAAAATATTATTTTTATTTCAATGAATGAAAATAATTGTTAGTATTTTTTGACAAAAAAAATAATATATAGAGGAGTAACAGTATTTAATTTTCAGTTATTTCCAAGAATTAAATGAATAAATTTGCTATATAAAAGTGAGGGAATATATCATACAAATATTTTCTAGATTTTTATTAAATCAATTTTGTTCTATTATAACATTAATTGTGCATAATATGAATTATTAATTTTGTAAATAAATTTAGATTGCATTTATTTTAAGTAAATTTAAGTTTAAGTGAATCTATTGTGTATTTATTAAATATAAATATATATAAATTATATATATATGCAAATTATATATAAAATCGAATCATAAAAAATTTGTATATTGCAACATTAAAAAAAATATTCCATGTAGAAAAAATTAATTATAGAAGTTAAAAATAGTTAAATCAAAATGCTTATGCTAAACAGATATGATTTTGATAAATAAATTGAATTTGTTTAACAATATTGTCATAAATTATCTTTTTCATATACGCAATTTTGAATTCCTACATTTATTATTAATATAAGGTTTTAAAAATATTAAATATAGAAATAAGCGATATCATAGTCCCATTTTTTCAAGAAAATTATTAACAATTTTGTGGAAAATATAATTCTAAAATATTTGATAGTGTCTGGGATCAGACTAAAGGCTTACCCTGAGATGATGAAGGGAGGCTTGCTGGCAAGTGGAATGGACAATGCAATAATTGAATACTGCCTTTGTATGAGTTGGTTGTCCTTTTATTGAATATAATGATATAATAAATCATCAGTGGTCTATTGAGGTGAGATTGAATGAATGATACAATGAATAGGTGAGAGTTTTTTCAATTAGCATGAGTGATAATAATCTTGTAAGTGTATTCTTGATGTGGCACGTAATTATCCTACTCGTGGTTAGGACTCGTAGTGGTAGTGGGAGATGCGCTGATGAAGGGTAATGATGCCGTAAAGAGTGTCGCGGTGTGAAATGGGAGTGTTGACGCCGCCGATTGCCTCTACCAATAAGCTGGAGAGGCCTGAGTGGGACGATGGTTCGTCACGTCAGTGGTGAGGAGAATTGATGCCGCCGTTGCCGCTACCGATAAGCTGGAGAGGCCTGAGTCGAGGCTGGTGTGTGACGTCACTGGTGAGGAGAAATGATGATGCCGTGGTCTAGGTATTGCTGTTTACTTAACTCACAGAGCCGTGTGTTCGTGATTGGTAAGAAGGTGTGTAATAGCGCAGCTTCCGTGTGGTGTCGATCTCAGTGCATTGATGGCACGTAACAACGTGTGTAATAGCGTAGCTTACGTGTGGAGTCGATCTGTGTGGTGGTAGTAATCTGAATGTGTATAGCTTACGTGTTAATTGGAGACAATCTGTGTGTATTGAAGGTGATTTCTGTGTGAGTGGTGTTAACTTGTAGGACGGCGATCCGATCTTGATGACTGCTTGATTGAACTAATAAGAGGACGAGAGCGTCAAGTGCAGCTCCTTAAATATTCTCGTACGAACTTGCTGCGCCGATAGCACATCGGTGGCTGTTGCTATGCCGATATTTGTCGTGACGTTAACAGGGCATAGCCTTGTAGGGTTCATTTGTTATTACTTTTCGGAATTATAGTCGTATATTCGAGTTTTTCGGTTAGAAGCATTCTTCGAGTCCGTTAGCCATTTGTTTACAAAACAAATGTTCGCGCGTTCATACCTCTCTCACTTTTATTCCGCTTAAAAATGCTGCAATCCGTAACAAAGATATAACATGTAACAGTATTACTATCATTGCATATTATCATAAATATGAACACATATTGTTATTGAAAAAGTATTCAATAATTCATGTTCATTTAAAAAATTATATTTAAAGTAATAGATACATAATTATTTTATAACATAAATAATTTTCATTAAAATTTTTGGTTCTTTTTTACTTTGAATTATGATTAATCCAAGTTTCTACAAGAATAGCAAAGCTTATAATTTTATATCAATCGATCTCTTAAAATATTTTTTCTATATGTCGGTGTTACGGATTACAGCAGTTTTAAGCTGAATACAAAGTGGGAGAGGTATGAGTGCGCGAATATTTGGTTTGTAAACACTGGCCAACGAGCTCGAAGAATGCTATACCGAAAATTCAACTATAATTCCGAAAAGTAATGACGATGAACCCTGCAAGGCTATGCGCTATTGACGTCACGACTAATATCGGCATAGCAACAGCCATCGATGTGCTATCGGCGCTGCAAGTTCGTACGAAAATATTTAAGGAGCTGCACGTGCCGCGATTCCTCCTTGCTAGTACGAATCACGCACTCTCCACATCGGGCTCGTTATCCAACCTGCAATCGCCATTATGAAGCCATAGCAAGTATCAAGCAACCTAAAGAACTAATAGCAATGCCACAACTATACCGGCATCCACGCCTCCGTAAGCAACGCACCACGCTCGTTCCTGACTACTACTCTTACTAGTTCAATCAAGCACCCATCACGACAAGATCGCCATTCTACTCATCGGCTCAAGCCCGCATGTAAGCTACCCCACTTCGCTCGTTCTTACATCTTGTTTCTACTCATTGGCTGAAGCCGGCATGTAAGCCACGCCACTTCGCTCGTTCTTACATCTTACTTCTACTCATCGGCTCCAGCAGGCACCCCGCACGTAAGCTACGCCACTTCGCTCGTTCTTACGTCTTACTAATACATCGGCTCCAGTCCGCACGTAAGATACGTTCATCAATACCACTACTACATCTGATCTCACGTACACAAGCAGTGACGTCACACGGACATCCTCCCACCACTCCGTTCACTACAGCTCTCACCCTCACGTCGGCGGCTAAGGCGGCACCAACTCGCTGCTCCTACCAGCACGAGTCTCCCACTACAATTACTCAACTCATAAGGAAAAGGGGAATCACGCTCCAGACTATCAAGAATACATTTACAGACTTATCGCCACCAACATTAATTGAAGAAACACTCAACTATTCATTCTATCACACATTCATTAAGCCATCCATAGATCATTGACTATTCATTATTTATTATATTTAATAAAAAGAAAGACAATAAACATTAAAGGCAGTATTGAATAATTGCATTGCCCCTTCCACTTACCAGCAAGCCTCCACCCACCATCATAAGCAGGTTTTTCAGTTTAATCTCAGACAGTCGTATATCTTCAAGTATCAAATCCATTTATTAATTTTAATAACTATAAATGCGCAGTTGAATTATATCCTATCTATTTAAAGAATATTTACCGCCATTGCTACTATTGGATATTAAATTTAGTATAAATGAATTCTAATTTAGAAGTTAAATATAGTACTAATTAGTACCAGAATTGGATAAATGCACATTCAAACTGTTGGACGTAATTTATTTAAAATAAAGATACTAGAAAACTTTTTAAGGCTCTATTTAAATCATCGATACATGATCAACTTTAATCAAATAATTTTTTAATATAATTAATGCACATAAACAATTAATGTTACTGTTCAGAATATTTGTGCCATAATTTTAACTTCATTCAAAATTCATTCAAAATTTTTGAAAATTCTTTAGTTCTTAAGAGGTGTACAGAAAACATAATGAAATTTATAGTAAATAATTTAATAGATAGATAGATCGTTTCAATCGAATGACAGTCATTTAATTTAAATCATATACATGAGAATAAAAATTTTAACTCAAAGGAGTCACTTCCTAGAAAACTAGAAATATTTGTTATACACATTATTTTATTGGATACTATATACTCAATCATGCTATTTTTCAATATAACAAATTTTTATTTATTTTCATCCTGAAAAAAATTTAAACGGAACCAAACACGAAAAAACGTAGATACAATATCTTTTACAGTAAATAAATTAACTTTGTTAATATTCAACTAATTATAAAAAAGGTATTGATGTTTATCACACTGTGTGTCTGGGATCAGACTAAAAACCTCCTTATGATGGTGAGTGGAGGCTTACTGGCAAGTGGAAGGGGCAATGCAATTATTCAATACAGTCCTTTGTGTTTGTAGTCGTTACTTTTATTAATGTAATAAGTAATGAGTAGTTAATAATCTATTAATTATTATAATGAGTGTATGATATAGTGAATATATTAGTGTTTCTTCACTAGTAGCGGTGACGATGAGTCTGTGCGTGTATTCTTGATGGCCT